TGGTGGGGTCTTTGCCTGGCTTTGGTATTAGAGTGATTCTGGCCTCATAGAATGAGTTTCAGAGTATTCCCTCCTCTCCTACTTTTTAGAAAACTTTTAAGGATGGGTATTAGGTCTTCACTAAATGTTTGATAAAATTCAGCAGTGAGACCATCTGGTCCCAAGCGTAGTTTTTTGATTGCCAATTCAATTTCCTTGCTGGTAATTGGTCTACTCAGATTTTCTGTTTCTTCCTGGGTCAGCCTTAGAAGGTTGTGTTTTTCTAGAAAGTTGTCCATGTCTCCTGAGTTACCAAGTTTGTTAGCATATAATTTTTCATAGTATTCTCTCATAATTATTTGTATTTCTGTGATGTCAGAGATTTTTCCTTTCTCATTTCTGATTCTGTTTATGTGTGTAGACTCTTTTTCTTGATAAGTCTGGCTAGGGGTTTATCTATTTTGTTTATTTTCTCGAAGAACCAACTCCTGCTTTCATTGATTCTATTGTTTTATTCTTCTCGATTTCATTTATTTCTACTCTAATCTTTATTATGTCCCTCCTTCTACTGACTTTGGGCCTCATTTATTCTTTTTCTAGTTTCATGAGTTTAGACTATTCATATGGGATTGTTCTTCTTTCCTGAGGTACGCCTGTATTGCAATATACTTCTCTCTTAGCACTGCCTTCACTGCATTCCACAGATTTTGCGGTGTTGAATAATTGTTGTCATTTGTCTTCATATATTGCTTGATCTCTGTTTTTATTTGGTCATTGATCCATTGATTATTTAGGAGCGTGTTGGTAAGCCTCCATGTGTTTGTGGGGTTTTCCATTTTCTTTGCATAATTTATTTCTAGTTTCATACCTTTGTGGTCTGAGAAGCTGGTTGGTACAATTTCAATCTTTTTTAATTTACTGAGGCTCTTTTTGTGGCCTACTATATGATCTATTGTTGAAAATGTTCCATGTGTACTTGAGAAGAATGTGATTCTCTTGTTTTTGGATGGAGTGTTCTGTAGATGACCATTAGGTCCAGCTGTTCTAATATGTTGTTCATGTCTCTGTATCCTTACTTATTTTCTGTCTGGTTGATCTGTCCTTTGGAGTGAGTGGTGTGTTGAAGTCTCGTAAAATGAATACATTGCATTCTATTTCCCCCTTTAATTCTGTTAGTATTTGTTTCACATATGTAGGTGATCCTGTGTTGAGTGCATAGATATTTATAATAGTTATATACTCCTGTTGTACTGACCCCTTTATCATTATGTAATGTCCTTGTCTCTTGTGACTTTCTTTGTTTTGAAGTCTATTTTGTCTGATACAAGTACTGCAACTCCTGCTTTTTTCTCCCAATTAGTTGCATGAAATATCTTTTTCCATCCCTTTACTTTCAGTCTGTATATGTCTTAACATTTTAAATGAGTCTCTTGTAGGCAGCATATAGATGGGTCTTGTTTTTTTATCCATCCAGTGACTCTGTGTCTTTTGATTGGAGCATTCACACCATTTACATTTAGGGTGATTATCGATGGGTATGTACTTATTGCCACTGTAGGCTTTAGATTTGTGGTTATCAAAGGTACAAGGGCAATTCCCCTACTATCTAACAGTCTAACTCACTTAGTATGCTATGTCAAACACAGTCTAAAGGGTTTTTTTTTCTCCTTTTTCTTCCTCCTCCATTCTTTATATATTAGGTATCATAATCTGTACTCTTTGTCTATCCCTTAATTGACTTTGGGGTAGTTGATTTGATTTTGGATCTTCTTAGTAATTAATTGTTCTACTTTCTTTGCTGTGGTTTTATTTCCCCTGGTGACAGCTGTTTAACCTTAGGAATACTTCCATCTTTAGCAGTGCCTCCAGAATGCACTGTAGAGGTGGTTTGTGGGAAGTAGATTCTCTCATCTTTTGCTTATCTGAAAACTGTTTAATCCTTCCTTCAAATTTAAATGATAATATTACTGGGTAGAATATTCTTGGTTCGAGGCCCTTCTGCTTCATTGCATTAAATATATCATGCCACTCCCTTCTGGCCTGTAAGGTTTCTGTTCAGAAGTCTGATGATAACCTGATGGGTTTTCCTTTGTATGTGATCTTTTCTCTCTCTCTGGCTGCTTTTAAAAGTCTATCCCCATTCTTGACCTTTGCCATTTTAATCATTTTATGTCTTGGTGTTGTCTTCCTTGGGTCCCTTGTGTTGGGAGATCTGTGCACCTCCATAGGCTGAGAGACTATCTCCTTCCCCAAACTGGGAAGTTTTCAGCAATTACCTCCTCAAAGATACTTTCTATCCCTTTTTCTCTCTTCTTCTGGTACCCCTATAATGCAAATATTGTTCTGTTTTGATCAGTCACACAGTTCTCTCAATATTCTTTCATTCTTAGAGATCCTTTGTTCTCTGTGCCTCAACTTCTTTGTATTCCTCTAATTTCTATTCCACTTACAGTCTCTTCTACTACATCTAATCTGCTTTTAAATCCTGCCATTGTATGTTTCATGTATGGAATTTCTTAATGATTGAATCTCTGTCCTAAATTTGTCCCTGAGTTCTTGAATATTTTTCTGTACCTCCATGAACATGTTTGTGATTTTTATTTTGACATCTCTCTCAGGAAGATTGGTAAGTTGTTTCATTTACCCCTTTTTCTGGTGTTTCTGAGATTTTTGTCTGAACCAGGTTCCTTTGATGTTTCATATTTCTATGTTGTGCCTTCTAGTGCCCAGAAGCTCTAGTCTCTGGAGCTGCTCAGCCCCTGGAGTGATGTTGGGGGTTGCAAGGGAGCAGTGCTGGTGCCTCAGGGGAGAAAAGAGCTGTTTCCTGCTTCCTGGCTGTAGTGCCTGTCTCCATTGTCAAAACCAGTGGGCCAAGCACATAGGTGTAAGCCTCTGCGCTTTTTATCTGTTGCTACCCTAGGTGGGCCTCACTCTGGCTGGCCTGACACCAGGGCAGGGACTGCCAGTTTGCGAGCCGGTGCTGGCAGGCCAGGAGGAAGGCGCAGCAGGCTACTTACCACAGTGGAGGGCCTGGGAGCTGAGTAGCCAGCCAGGGGCATGGAGCGCCTGAAGCTCCTGACAGTTCCCAACCTGCTGGGCAGAGCCCACCCAGACAACCTTGTCCACCTATCCCTTCTCCCACACAGGAAGCTCCGTGCAAACCCCAACCCTTCAGCAGCCCTCTTGCTGCTAGGAAACCTCTCAGACCGCCTGTTTTTCCATTGTCTCAGAGTGGCCAATGTGGATCCCTGTCCTCCATGAACAGCTGGAATCTCAGTCTCTCCAAGTATTCCTCCTGTCTTCGCTTTCCAATGCCACTAATGTCCAGAGCACCATGCCATGTAGGTTTGTGCTCCCAGAGCAGATCTCCAGGGCTGGATGTTCAGCAGTCCTAGGCTCCCACCCGCTACCCGCTCTTTTTCTCTTCCTCCCACCAGTGAGCTGGTGTGGGGGAAGGGCTTGGGTTCCACTGGACCAAGGCTTTGGTACGTTACCTTGTTTCATGAGGTCTGCTCTGTTCTCCAGGTGTATGCAGTCTGGTGCAGCCTTCTTTCCTGTTGCTCTTTTGGGATTAGTTGTATTAACTGTATTTTCTTATTATATGTGGTTTTGGGAGGAGTTCTCTCTCTCACCTCTCATGCCGCCCTCTTGAATCACTCAATACACCATGGTGCTGGGACAAGTAATTCCACAGCAATAGCTAAAAGTTGCATTACACCATTCCATATGGCATACCCAACCTAGGGCTTAGTTTTATTCACTCTTTCCCTTGCTCCAGCGATGATAGACACCTTTGTATCATACCATGCTGTCAACATGCTAAATTCATTCTGGAACTATGTCCAGTTAACTGCTGAGGCTGGCTGAATTCTCCATAGAAGGCCAACTAAGACAACAATGGGTAGCTCAGTACATACCCAAAAGGAAATGTTGGCCATGGAAGCATAGGTGTGTACCCAATCAACCACAGTATTCACCCAAAGACAGCAGGGAGGGCTCATTCATCACCACCATCCACACTGCTCACAATTCAGCCCATTGGCTGTTTTGCCCATCCTGGTTTCTAACCAGATTGTCTGTAGATAACTGTATAGCAACTGCTGTCCACCCTGTACTCCTACTTTTACTAGTCCCATCAGTATACCATGCTGCTTCTGGTATAGGGACTTTTTCTTCCTTGAAAGGGGAAGGTTCCACAGGATTACTCACAGAGGGTGGGGTTCTAAGGCCATAGTTTCATTACAGGACTGGGCCTAGGATTTTCTGTAATTCCTGTCCTAGGGACTAGCAGACAACTCCCCTCTCTGCTCCAAATATGCCTCCAACTTTGCCAGTGTGGGTATCTGAGCTACTCCAGTGCTGGGCTTTCAAACCCACCCAGCAAGTGGATAGGTTGTTCATGCAGAGACAGCAGCTATTCCTGTAATGGGTTCCACAGCTAACAAGGCCATGTATATGGCTGCTAATTGCTGCTCAATGAGGGAGTATCTTAACTCCGTTCCTTACCATAGTTGTGACCAAAACCCACTGGGTTGGTGAAGGTGCTCAGACCTCTGCCACAGGCCCCACCCTAACCCCTCAGGAGTTACATGGACATCTAATTCAAAGGCCTGCTAGGGTCCACAATCTGAAGGGCTTGGGCCTCTTGAATAAGGCGTTTTGCCATCAAAAATGCTGCTCCACTGACTGGGTCATCCCAGTCCCATTTTGCCCCCTTTTTAACCATATTACATAAGAGGCAGCACACTTGTGCCAAATGTGGACAAAAGCCCTCCAATGGCCAAAAAGGCCCTAAAACGTTTGCAACTGCTGTACGGTTGTTGGGCGACAGAAGGCCTGTACCTTATTAGTTATAGATTCTGGAATAATCTTTGTCTTTTCTGACCAAACAGTACCCCCCCCAAAAATTTGACTGACAAGCCAGGTCCTGGTATCTTGTCGGCATTCACTGCCCAACCACATGCCTGTAGATGGGAGAAGAAAGTGGGAGCTGTTCTTGGTAACTGCAAGAGAATCAGAAGTTAGTAAAACATCATCCATGTAATGAAATATTTTTACAGCCACAAGTTGGGGCCATTTTGACAGATCAGCAACCACCAGGCCATGGCAAACAGTAAGGCTGTGTAGATATCCTTGCAGCAAGACTGTCAAAGTCCACTGTCGTCCTTGCCATGTGAAAGCAAATGGCTCCTGGCTCTCAGGGGCCAGTGCTATAGAGAAAAAGGCATTAGCAAGGTCCAGAACAATAGTATGTTCCTAGAGTCAGTCAGTTCATCCATCAAATCAGCAACTGATGGTCCATCTGCGTGCAGCAGCGACTCCACTTTATTTAACTCTCTGTAATCCACTGGCATTCACCAAGTCCCAGCCAGCACTGAATGGGCTGTGTGTGAGTCACACAATGCCCACCTTCTCCAACTCCTCAATGATAGCAGTTATTTCTGTGTGTCCCCCAGGCAGCCAGTATTACTTGATGTGGATTATGTGCCATGGTGCAGGCAGCTGCTGGGAGGCATGCTTAGGATAGCCTCCTATTGCTTTTATCACTCGCACACGGAGGTGGAATGCACCAGCAGTAGGTTGCAACCACAGTCCTTGCAGGATGTCAGTGCCCAAAATGTACTCTGATATGGGGAGACAAATCTTGTGTACACTTGAGGTGGAAGATGATCAATCGCCGAAGTTATTGAGTTCACTTTCACTTTAACAGATCACCCACTGCTTCCATCAGTGTATGATACTGGGCCAGGAAACTGTTCAGGGTTCCAATATGAGAGGCTACACTCTGCCCCTCTATCCACCATAGCCAAAACCTGTTGTACATTTGTGGGGCACCAGTACATGGTTAATTCTACACATGGCCTCCAGTCTCTGCTGCCCTCCACCAAGCGGGTCCCTTGACTTTGCTCCTAATCATACTTAAACAGGAGACCATCATCCCCGGGGTCCGTGCCTAGTGTGATCAACTGGTCTTCCGGGTAGAGGGCCAGTGCAGCAGGCACAGCCTTTGCAGTCCCCAACTTCATATACTGCTGTTCTGGTTTCAGTTGCTTCCATAATTACAACAGATAAGCATTTGACTGATGATCAGTTTTTTGGCCCTGTCTACTCTATCAGCTAGTAAGTCCACCCACATCCAGGTCCGGGTTACTCTCTGCGGTACACAGCCCTGCCTTTTTCCTTCTGGGGGCCCTCACTGAGTCTCTGCACGCACCCCCCTCTGCTGCCTCCGGGTTTCAGCTTCTCCCAAACTGGCCACCACGGTTGTTACTTCATTAATCAGGCGTCCCACATAGGGAGCCAGGATTGCCATAAGCAAGCCAAAAGTACTGGAGGGGGCATTTTGCAACACCAAGTCCCACATTCCAGCAAGAAACTGCTCATCATCTAGGCCACACTGAACATAGCCTGGCACATGCCCAACTCACATCAGACCTGCACTAGGTCTACAAGAGTGCCATTTACTTACAGTCTCAGGGACACCTCAGTGCCAGCGCAGACTGTTTGTGTGGCTGCCGTCACTCAGTCCAGGAGGGAATGATTCCCTTGCCCGTGTCTTTGGCTGTTATGCAGCTGCTGACAAAGGGAGGGGTGAATAGTCACAGAGGCCATTTTCTCCATCTCCTGGGCACTACAGATAATGCCATCCACCTGCAAATCCCAAAGTTGTAACAGCCAGGCTGCCAGTGGCTCTCCCAGTCACTGGTGAAACTGTTTTCCTAGGTCCTCCAGCTCGGCCTGTGTATATGGCCGGTATGTGGTGACTTTGGTCACATTGGGGGCCCCTTGAGGCTGCTTCAAGGTTGACTGTGTGCTCACCTGCAGCATGGTTAGAAACAGCCAGCCTGCTTGGTGGCTGCCTCCTGTGGGGTCCACTTACTCAGGCCAGGCCCTAGGGGCTGTATTACAGCCTCCAGCGTTACAGGAGTCTCGTCTACCTGTTCCCACTCCCGTGGGGGCACCCATACCACTGACAAAGCAGCCACTGGCTACCACGTGCCACCCTGGGGTCAGCCCTCTATGTGCCCCTCCAAAGGAACACTGGGTTCATACTGGCCTGAAGCAAATCCTGCCAGCTATGCCAGCTGAAATGCAGGTGATTCATACCTGGAAGGTTAAACTGCAATTTGGGAAGGCCAAAGAATAACAGAGGCACAGATGGGACTGTGACCATGCCTTATTTGGGTGTGCAGCAGCAGCAAAGCTTTCTGGGCAGCCTTCTTACAGGGCTCTGGAGCAAAGCCGGCCCAGTGCTAGTGAGTATGTTTACTGTCATGCACTGCACAAGCAAGATGACATAATACAGAGCAGTGCCTCTCTGGAAATCCTGTGTAAGGGAGCCTGACAGACACCATGCTCTTGCCCACATAAAATGTTCCTGCCTTGATTTTGGCCTGTAAGCAATAATTTAACTAACAGTAATAAGAAAGCTGTTGTATCCCTCTGCATCTCATGATGATATCTTCTATGAAAATGTTAGTAAGCAGTGCCAAACTGGTTCAACTCTAGCCCCGCAGTGGCCTTCCACCAGCAACAGAATGTTGAAACCAGCAACAGCTGAAACCACCGCTTTCTCATTTTCCTCACCAGTGCTCCTTATCCTAAATTCATTGCTTAAGAGATGCAAAGCCAAACAAGCATTTTGTGCAAGTTTAAGAGTAGAGTGATGAGTGGTATTGGACTTGGGGACAACTGGTAACAACTAGAAGCCCAGTAAATTCCTAATACACTTCATAGAGCTCACACTTAGTCACGACCTGAATGGAAGTTCTGATTGTTTGCATCAGAGTCCAGTTGGTAAAATGTAACAACATCTGTTGTAACAGATAACTATTACTGAAAGGAATTAAGTGTTAGAGAACTGAACAAGAGAACTGAACATGTGGAAGTAGCTGCCACATAAACACATATACACATAAAAAGTGTTAACAATACTTACCTCCTGGCAGTAAGATTGCAGCTAGTTTTTCTACAAAACAAATTGAAACAAATATTACCACTCATGTTAAAGCCTTGAAGTACTGCAGTACTGCTTCTAGTCAGTCAATGCATTAGTAGAGACAGAATCTTCTAGAATATAGTTATATGGTATATGAGATTGCACCATTGGAAAGTACCACTTTGTCATAAAGTTAAGGTTCAAGAAACAGCCTATAACTGAAAAATGGACATAACTGGAGCCATTTTAAAAGAAGCAGGAGGGAATACTTCCAAATTCATTCTGTAATGCCAGATCACTCTAATAGCAAAACCAAAAAAGACACTCCAAGGAAAAAAATTGAAGACCAAAATCCCTGATGAACATAGATGCAAAATCCTCAACAAAATATTAGCAAACTGAATTCAAAAATACATCAAAAGGATCATCCATCACAATCAAGTAGGATTTATTCCAGAGGCATAAGGATGTTACAATATTCATAAATCAATCAATGTCATACACCACATTAACAAAAAAAGTAGAGGAAGTGTGGGCACTGCAGAGAAACTGCCTTTGTTTGTTTGAACTGGGCCAAAACCTTTGAATTGGGCAAAATATAGCTGTTGTTTTAAACAAGTACCACAAAATTTAGTGGGAGAATGGACATCCTGATCACAAGACTGATGGTTGTGGACTCTGAAGATAGCCAATCAGTGTATGTGGATAAAGTGAAAGTTCCTATGGCCAGGATCCTCATCTGAACCTAAACTACTTGATGATGTAACTGGCCTGTTGCTAGGCTACTGCTTCACACCCTAGGCAATAAGCTATTACTGACTGAGTCACTATATAAAGAGCTCCACCCAGTGCTCTGGGTGGAGGCAGAGATGAAGGAGGATTACAGAACTGCAGGATGCTATAGCAGCAGACATAATTCTAGTGCTCAACCTATCACCAGGAGAACAAGTTGGGTAATAAATCCTTTCACCTCAAAAACGTTCCATTGTGATTTTCCAATTTCACTGAATTCATAGTGAACTTGCCTGAGGCTGAAACCCATTGGAAAGACAATAGGCAATGTCAGGAGGATCCATCATTGACCAAAGAAATGAATAGGTTGCCCTCACGAGAGAAGTGTTTCATTCAGTGGGTTGTGCCTATGGATGGGGAGATATTCAAGTGTCCCCCAGTGGACATGTGGTCTGACATCGCTTGCCTCTTAGAGGACTGGGCTCCACCCCAAGACTGGGAAGGGGTGGAGGTGAGACCTGAGGCAGTAGGGATGGCCCTTGGTAAAATAAGTAGGTCATTTAGAGTGCCCATGAGGTGGTGGGAACAGTGGGAAGTTTTTTCTCATAGTACTGAGAAAAGGCCGTAAGGAAGAAGGACGTCCTCCTACAGGCAGCATGAGAAGAGTCAGCACGAGAACGTGAGCTGCGAGGTGCTGTTGAGGAGGTAAAAAAATTGTTGGTGACTGAAATGGCATCACTATGAGGTGCTGTGGAAATGGTAAAGGATGTCGTGGTAACCAGAGAGAAAGCAGCATGAGAAGGAGCAGCAGCCCAAGAAGAAGCTGCACGAGAGTGCAGGCTGCCAGGTGCCATAGGGCAGGTGAAGGAAGTAGTGGAGCCATCAGCCCCAGAAATGAAGGAGCAGAAGTTTGACAAATAGGTGGGGATGGAGGCCCTGCTGTCAGAGACATCAGCCTCTCCTTGGTCGAAACCCCACCCGGTTGAAAGCTTGGTGGAAGCTGGTGGGAAGCCCAAAAGAGAATGAAGACTTGGCAACCGCAGGTTCCTCCAGGAAAGGTGCAGCCCCCTTCCCAGGTCATGGAGCACTCTACACTCTGCCCCTATACTCAGGCACAAGCAATGAAAGTACAAAAGGAAATACAGTCTGCTGCTCATAGGAAGAATTTAAAGGGCCCCGTGAAGGTCTCAAGGACCCAGATGTGGGCTGATTTGATAAAGGCAAGAGTAGACACAAAGAAATTAGATGGAAGTCAAGTAGAATCTTACTGAAGCTGTGGCAACAATTGAGGCTATAGCAGCAGTTTCAGCCAGAGGACAAGGAGGTGGAGGCCAGATATAAGCAGTAGGGCCAGCCTGTGTGTCCGCAAAACTTTTTGCTGGAGAGGCTGGAGAAGGTGGGTATTATAAGGCCCACCCATGGTTCCTTTAGTTAACTCATCTGAGTAGAACTGGTTTGAATACAGCCAAGATGACCACTTGGTGGCAATGGATTTTCTAGGCTTAAGGGTTATTATAATCTGTCATGATTTGTGTTATGTGTATATTGTCATAGCCTCTATTGTTGTTATTATGGAATTTGGATACAGTGTTCCAGCTTCCTAGCACAGGGTTCATTGCAGAAGATTGATGGCACATAGATTGAGAGGTGAGAATCCTGGAGGGGTGGAGTGTGGATAAAGTGAAGGTTCCTATGGTCATGATCCTCACCTGAACCTAAACTACTTGATGATGTAACTGGCCTGCTGCTAGGCTACTGCTTCCACACCCATAGGCAATAAGCTATTACTGACTGAGTCACTATACAAAAAGTTCTGCCCAGTGCTCTGGGTGGAGGCAGAGACGAGGGAGGATTACAGACCTGAGGACTGTTGGATGCAGAGGTAATTCTAGTGCTCAACCTATCACTGGGAGAACAAGCCAGGTAAAATACCCTTTCACCCCAAGAACATTCCATTGTCATTCCTCAGTCTCACTGAATCAATAGTGAACTCCCCAGGGCTGAAACCCATTGGCAAGATAGTGTATAATCCAGTGGCTGAGCTTGTTAAAACACCCATAGAAAACTTGTTTTTCTTTTCTTCAATTCATGTAATTGCCTCCTCTTTTCCTCATAAAGACCCCTTGCTTTTGCCCTTCAAGCAGGACACTATTTGGGTTTCTACCTGAGTTTGTACTCCCCAAATTATAATTCTTTGATCCCAAATAAATACGTACCTCTCATTGTGGCTGTTATTTTCAGGCTGGCAACTGTGTCACTGGTACCAATTAACACATCCCTTCACTTAAGGAGCCAAGGAAAAATAAATTTCCTGGGATGAATAGGTCTGTAAGGGATATATTGGAAGTTTCACAACTTAGCTGCAGTAACTTGTATCAAAGTCCAATTTTTACTTGCTCCAACTCCCACCCTCCTGTGGCCATCTTTTGGGAATATGTTTTTGCTATCCACGTGGTCACCTCTGGAGCAGCTGTTATTTAATGTGACCTGAGAAGAGTTGACTGGTAGAGGAGTGGGCAGCTGACCTAGGCTGTCCCTTCACTGGAACTGGGAAATCAGGTTCTCTTTGGGTGACTGATAAACGTGGGACCTACTGGTGCCATCTAGTGGAGGAGGAACAAATGGAGAATGGGGCCAATGTGCACCGAGGGGCAGAGCTGGAGGGGTTTGAATCCCCAAGCTACTGCTGAATGCTGAGGCCTCCCTTAGAACAGCCTAACAACAGCTTTTTCCTTTCGTCAGTGTTAAAGAAAATGGTTAGAGAAACTGTGACTTTATTATGTGCACAGATGCTGTTAAAATTTTGAATTCACAGAATTAAAAAATGTGTAGAACATAAAAAGCAAGTCGTTTTTGGTAAGAAAACAAAATAATGCTAAACTTAACATAGTGGTTCATTAAAATGTTGAAAATACTGGCTTTAGATGATAAATATAGACAAGAAGAACTGTATTCTTGGGAATAAACACTATAATTCTGTAGAAAGAAAATCATACAAAATCAAGGTATTATTGCTCAAATAAGTCTCCCCATATTAAAACCACAGTTATGTACAGACATTGTTCCCAAACACATCATGCTGTGTTCCAGTACTCTGGTACAAGTGCCAACAGGCTACAACACCTGTAACAACTTGCCTGTAGCCCTGACCTTTGGAAAACAAACAGCTGCTGTGAAATAACATGACCAACTCAGAAGGTAGTTCTTTACAAAACAAAACACAGGACTAAAATCAAGCATAAAAAGAAAAAATAATATAACTAATTTTGAGAACAGTACTCCTTCATCACAAAGGATGCTTTTTGCACATTAACCCTCACATACGTACACTTAGAATAATTGTTCATATATCCAGAAATGAAACAGGTGACTAAATGAATAACAGAATTTACAGACTTCAAAATGGCAATAGGAGATCTATTAACAGATGACAATAATATCCTCCACTAACCGGAGCATCTATAAAATAACTATGGAGCTCTTCATCCTCACAATTCTCCTCTTGGCCATCTGTGTTCACAATTGGTTTTCATCCATTTCTGTAGGAGTAGTGCTTTTAGTGGAACAGTATGAATAACTGCCATACTGAGGTATGGGCTCCTGTGGTGGCCAGTTGCTTTCTTGCAAGAGTGATCTTGGAGACAAAATAAACTGGGTCTCAAAAAATTCTAATGACTCTCCATCTTCTTTCTCCATTAGGAATTGATAGTCACCGAATCTGACCATGCACTTGTACGGCAAGTCTATTTTATTTAGGTAGCCCAACTCCTTATTGTTCACAATCAGACTGGTCTTCTTACTCATATTTTTAATTTCAAAAGAGAGAACGGAGCTATCAAACTTTTTAAATAGCTGTAGAGAAAACTGAACTCGGGAAACCTGTCTGTCCTGAAAGGTATAATGACAGATGTTGGAATTTCGGCCAAATTTCAGCACTTCACTGGAGGGGAGTTTTTTTCTGTTATAAAACCTTACTGATTGGAAAATTCCACTGTTTAGCTGGCCAGGATGGTAAACAGTTATCTGGAGATAAGTGAGTGTCTCTTCTGTGTCGGCGTCTTCAAAACTGGACATGATGGGCACCAGAATTTGACCTGCCTGCAACAATTAAACCAGGATGTTAGTTTACCCCCACACGTCAGGCACCGAGATTTTTTATTCTAATATTTTAATGAAAAGCTTCTGACAGGCAACTTATTTAACCTTTAAATTAAGAAAACAATACATAGAACACTTTCAATTAACTAGTAGCTGGGAGAAATGGTATACCAAGCTCTATGAGAACTGGTATATAACTTTTTCCTCTCTCTCTATTTTTCATATTTAGTTTGATAGACCACACATTTAATCAAAACAATAACAAGGAATGATCATTGGTAATAAAGAGATGGGGTTGGGAGGGGTGGATAAAGAAACTTCAGTTTTTCTCATTTAAATAGGGTGACTTGGGCCAGAGAAATAGCTGTACTTTGAAAAGAAAATCAGGAATAAAGAATCCCTCAGGTTTGAATGCCTTCAGAGGATATACATATGAAGAAAACCTACAGTTTATTAACTGAATTATAATTAGATATATTATGAATAGTGAAAGTTGATTAAATAAAAAGTTATAAACAAATAATTGCAATATTTACCCTTTATATCCTCACTTAAATTTATGCTAGGGAAAGGGTTAAAAACAGTAAATGCTTTAAAAGTTTATTTTATTGTATAATTTTAAAATTTAGACATTACACTCTTAAAAAAAAATCTCCACAAGATAGTTCTGAATATCATAGTCTGTACTCATACTGGAATTAATTATTTTTGTCAATGGTTCCTAATGACTGGACAAACTTATTATTCACCACATTCAGCACAATCTAACTGCCATTAAGAGAAACAGCATTCCTCTAGAACCCAAGGTTCTAGCGGTGCCTCCACCTCCACTTCCCTAAATGTATCTACAGTAATCAGTGGAATAAAGTAGATCATAGAAGAGGAGAGTTACTAACATCTTTGAGAGGTTATTTTGACACAGCACTGTCATTTTTAACTAATTTATTTTAAAAGAACTGCATGCCCATGATTTAAAATTTCAAACCGTAAAAAAGGATTTTTTTTACGTATCTTCCCTTCACCCTAACCTTTGTTTCCCTCTTCTAGTCAACCACAAAGTTGCTTTTATCCTCACAGAAATTTTCTTTACAAGAAAACTGTGAGTGCTCACACACACAAATACGTCTCCACCCAGAGAAAAAATTGTCTATCCTCACAGAAATTTTCTTTACAAGAAAACTATGTGAGTGCTCACAGACACAAACATGTCTTCACCCAGAGAAAAAATTGTCTTACACAAATAGGAACATACATATTTAGTTCTGGAGCTTGCATTTTTCAAACTAATAATACAATGGATGATTTGTTTCCATAAGTACACATATAAATACACCTCCTTCTTGACCAGCTGCATAGAGCCCCTTTAATCTAGTGTGGCGGTGAATTTCACCAGCAGAGCGATGCTGTGCTCCCCTGCACTCCTGAAGTACTGTTTTTCTGGTTTGGGGATCAGTAGTCTTTCAAGTGAAATTGATTTGTAGTTTCACTGTTTTTTGTTTGCCATCTATATTAGATGTCAGTATCAAAATTATGCTGGTCAAAAAATAAAGCAGAATACTTTTTATGCTCACTGTTATTTACTTTTAAAATACAATTTTTCCTACTATTCTGCAAAATTGTGTTGCTAAAAAGCAAACTCTCAATTTATCCAATTTAACAAATGACAGAGCTAAACAAATTTTTTTATTTGGAAATATATCTCTAATTTTAACAGATTTTTTTGGATATTATTACATTATATTGCATTGCTCAAGGAGACAACAGATGCCTAGCTATAAGCAGAAAAAGTAAGAGGAACTCTCAAATTTTGAGCCAAGGGTAAAAATTACAATGAAACCAAAGGCAACAAGAATTAACACACAGTAGGTTGAACTGGTTAATCCATCTCACACCGTCATCTCAAGATACTTTAATTATGATGATGAAGTCTCATTATTCAAGAAGCAGACAGCATAAACAAAAATAATTATAATGAGATGATGCAATTAGCACTTGATATGAAAAGAATTAGCTGTTAACAAGTAAAGAGCCTAGAAAGGAAAAGCAAGGCTCTGTCAGAGATCTCATCCTTGACAAGGATACACTGCCAGCATTCTAGCTCATTCTTGGAATTTGGACAATAAATCATTTCCAAAAGGAGAAATGAATTCAAAACATGGTGAATTCTGGATACAGTCTTTTAGTAACACCTAAGTTTTGTTTTCTTTCTTGTTCTTTATATAAACTATTAGCTTAGAATTCAGGCTTTTGAGCAAATCTGCCACCAAGAAAAGTTTGCCCCGTATAGGCTCTTATGCCTAGTACCCAGGACAAATTTATTATCCACTACAAGAAAAAAATTAATTGACATTTTGGTCTATAAATCAGTGGCTATAGTGTCCTGTAAGGCTGTAAGTGGTGTGAATCATTTCTCAGGGTTCGATGAACTTCTGGTTCCCAATTGTGGCCCTCCACAACACTGAGCTAGAGCATATCACTGTCAAATACTTGCTGCCTCTGCCTACTGGGCCTGTCCCTACTGCTTCTTTTTATGCTCTTTTTTTGCTTTTTATGCTTTTTATGCTTTTTATGCTAAGTCCCTATGACTTCCCACTCTGTTGACAGCCATGTTAACCAAACATGCGTGGAAGGGACATGGAAGCTTATGTCCAAGTAAAAGCTTTCAAGGACGCTGCATAGTTCTACCTTTCTTCTTTCCCTTTACCATATCTGCAGTCTTCCAAAGGAGCAGCTCAGCCTTGGTCCTAGAAGAAAGGACCGAAGACAGGACCTAAAAGGACATGCAATACGAGCAAGCTATCAACCCTTCTGTAAGTCACCTGTTCCTGAGTGATATGTAGCCTGAGCTGATAGATGCCTTCACATATCCTATAAAGGGATGAAGCCACTATAAACCCTGACATACCAGGCAACTACATTTTGTATGTGTTTCATATGCTAGGCAGTACTAGTCCTTTCCATACACTGTCTTAGCTAATCTTCAAAATAACCCTATGAATCCTGCCCAAAGCAATCTACAGATTTAATGCAATCCCTATGAAATTACCAACAGCATTCTTCAATGAACTGGAACAAATAGTTCTAAAATTCATATGGAACCACCAAAGATTCCGAATAGCCAAAGCAATCCTGAGAAGGAAGAATAAAGTGGGGGGAATCTCGCACCCCAACTTCAAGCTCTACTACAAAGCCACAGTCATCAAGACAATTTGGTACTGGCACAAGAACTGAGTCAAAGACCAGTGGAACAGAATAGAGTCTCCAGACATTAACCCAAACATACATGGTCAATTAATATACGATAAAGGAGCCATGGGCATACAATGGGGAAATGACAGCCTCTTCAACAGCTGGTGTTGTCAAAACTGGACAGCTACATGTAAGAGAATGAAACTGGATCATTGTCTAACCCCATACACAAAAGTATATTCGAAATGGATTAATGACCTGAATGTAAGCCATAAAAGCATAAAACTCTTGGAAAAACACATAGGCAAAAATCTCTTGGACATAAACATGAGTGACTTCTTCATGAACATATCACCCTGGGCAAGGGAAACAAAAGCAAAAATGAACAAGTGGGACTGTATCAAGCTGAAAAGCTTCTGTACAGCAAAGGACACCATCAATAGAACAAAAAGGTATCCTACAGTATAGGAGAATATATTCATAAATGACAGATCCAATAAAGGGTTGACATCCAAAATATATAAAGAGCTCATGCACCTCAACAAACAAAAAGCAAACAATTCAATTAAAAAT